CGTGTTGCCGTTTGCTTTCACACGTGGTACAACCTTATACCATGAAGAAAGTTGAGGTTTCACCATAAATCAATTGGCAAAATAGAGTAGCTCAACTTACTTATAAGCCCATGCAAGGTTGTTATTCCTAACAAGTCACTCACGTGTGGCAAATTTTCAAGCCTAATACATGAACAACACAACAGGGTGACGTGGAACGCTTGTGACCGTTTGACTTTGCACATGGGGCAACCTGCTCTGATACCATGAAGAAAGTTGAGGTTCCATCATAAAACAATTGGCAATATGGGGAGTAGCCCACTTACTTATAAGCTCATGCAAGGTCCTTCCTCCCACTAATGTGAGGTTTATTCTCAACATAAAAATATAGAGGTATTTGTCGATTTCCCCCTCAAACTTGTAAGGTGCTGTCAATTTCTCTCCTGAACTTAATTTTAGACAATTACCCTCCTAAACTATTATAATTGGCCAAAATCCCATACTGTTAGATTTTCTAATTTTCCGTCAAATATTCCATCTATCTCTATCAACGCCAGAAAATTCTACGAGCATAAAAGTAATTTGGCTACTCACCAAAGCCAAACTGATCGAGAGAGAGTATCAGGGTTGACGATTTGGCAAAAGAGGTCTAACTGTTGAACACAAAGTTTCTAGAAGTGAGGGTTGGGGAGCATGATCTTTTGGTCCTTCTCAAACCTCTGCAAGAAGTCAATGGGGAAGGTGGAAGGTAGGAGGCGATGGCGAAAGCGGAGGGACTATGGAATTGGAATTGGGGTCCCCATCAAAGTCGAAGTGACGTGACGTAGCGAGCGGTGGGTAGGGGGGTTTCTAGAGTTTTGGAGGATGAAGGTGCAAATGCGTTAATGGCGAAGAGGTCATGGGGTCGGGGAGTGGAAGTGGCATTGGGTTTGAGGGATGCGGGAGTTTGTGGGAAATAGGGGGAAAGAGGTGGGTAAAAGTGGAAATTGATGGGTGTTGGTGGGGTAGTTGCAGAGAAAATAAGCATGGGGTGGTGGGCAGGTTGGGATTTGGGTGTTAATTGGTGGAAGTAGATTTTTGGAGATGGTTTTGGGAGAGTGATTGAGGTTTAGAGACGGGTGGAAAAATTGGAAATGAGATTTAACTGTCGAAGTCGATGGGAAATTTTGCAGGAGTGGCATTTCTTATTGCTTTGTGTGTAATCTGTTGTGAACTTTGGAGAGAGAAGCATAGAAAATGAAAGGGGCTCGTAAGATATTCGGAGGAGGAGGAGTTTGCCTGTAAAAAGACGTTGTTCAGGATGGACGGAAAATCAGATGAAAAATTAGAAAATCTAACGGCGTGGGGGAATTTGGCTAATTATAAGAATTTAGGAGATAATCATCTAAAATTAAAGTTCATAGAAGAAATTGGCAGCACCTTACAAATTCGAAAGAAAAATCGACAAATAAGCCTAAAAATATATCTACTGTCTATATGGAAGCGATATGTATTAGAAAGGTGTTCAGATATGACTGGCAGGGACTCTCATTACATGGTATTTGGATACTTTTACTATAAGTTATAGAACACTGGCAAATTAATATTATTATCGTGAGACTGAATCTTCAAGGGAAGTTTCTCATTAGGCATTTTGAAATCCCATATTGTTATTTCATTATATATGATCACTACAAGATTATTGATAATGTAATTTATAATTAAGTAAACTCCAATTAATGGAATAACATATTATCAGTACCAATCATGTTCTGCTCTTTATCCCTATTTGTAATTAAATAAAAAGATTTCATTTATTTATTTGCAAATATATAAGAACGAAAATAATTGAAGTGGTTTCAGGCACCGTTTACCGAAATCACATATAAAGTCAGCAACAAAATTATGCATGCCAATGGTGTTTGCAATTATTCAACATTTGACATGCTTAGATTCTTTACAATACTCCTTATCTTAACAATATTTACACTACTCACGGGAAATGATAAGAACAACTGTAATATTCTATAAATTATAAAAGGGGGAAGTTTTTAAACCATATACAAAACTAATTATAAGTTTATCTGATAAAAACAAACTTATATGGTGTCATATTTCTCTAACGATAAATGTCTCAGTAAAATTTGAAAAGATAAAAATTAACAGAAGATTTGGCGTAAACCCAACCACAATGTAATTCTAACCTCATTTAATAAGATAACACTTGATTGTTATTTTTAATCTGAAATCTCTTTCTGAATTACTAGATCAATTGCCTTTATTTCGTTTTATAAATTTATTTTGGTTGATAATTTCTTTTCCTTTTTTTTAATCTAATAAATAGTACGAGGCTACTCGACATGTGATGGCCCAAAAAGTCTGTCACGCAAAAAAAAAAAAAAAAAAAAAAAAAATGGAATCCCATCTGGAAATGGAAATGGAAATGGCACCTAATGCTGGTGGTTGTGGGCCCCGGACTGTCAGTGCTCCTATCTTCTTCTACAATGGAATACTGCAGAAATGCACGTGGTTTTCCCTCAGTCGATCGGGTTGACTTTTCCCACGCGTTCCCATCTCTCTCCCTCCTCTAGGTTCATGCGTATGGCTAAATCAAATCCGTTGGATTCAATGATTCATGCAAATTCAACATAATCAACGGCTTCAAATTTCAAATTTTGTGCAACGAAATCATTAGGGTTTACATTTTTTTGGGTGAAAAATTCGGGTTTACTGTTCATGATTCGTTCCTTTTTGTTCATTTCTAGGACCTAGGACAAAAGAAAGGGAGATGAGAGGGCTTTAGGGTTAGATTTCAATGGTAGACGCCTATGGTTTTAAAAAACTAGGGTTTTATAAAGCTCAAGGTCGACATCAACTTAATTATAATTAAATGGTATTTGAGTTTACATTTTTCGAATTAGATTGTAACACTTGTTGTGGTGGTAATGGAATAACTTTGGATAATCTTTGATATCCCTTTCAACCTTTGCTTTAATTTGTTCATATCCACAAAGGTCATCTTTGTGATATAAAAGACGCAAGCAGATGGGATACGTTGAAGTAGGTAAAAGCTTCAAAACCTGTCCATTTTTTCTTTTCCTTCATGTTTTTTTTATTTTTTTAACAAATGATATTATCTACATTAAAGGAGAAGGGGTGGATTTAACCTTACAATGTACTAGTAATAATATGATTCAAATTCGTCTTTGACGAGAATCGAACCTAATTATACTTCTCACTTACGAGTGAAAGGGACCGTAGTACTAAGTGGGTTTCCGTCATGTTAAATGGTTAACATACATCAATGATAACGCAAGGAGCATATGCTTGGTAGATATCTCCCCATTTTATAATGTGATGCTATCCACATATATATCTCTTTTTATCTCTCACGTATGCTTGTTAACTTTTGCTTTTTGATCCTCTTCAATTTATTCGACAACAAAAAATTAAGAGGTGTGTGGAAGGTAAAGAGGAGTGTGTAGTAGCCATTTTATGTTTGAAGATTCCCAATATACAGTATTGCCCATAATATTTTCTTATAAACATTCATAATACCTCCACTCATTGCCAATATAAGTTTCGAGTTGAAAACTAATAGTGTAGCCGAACGCATTATGTTGTGCGATCCAAGGTTAGCTTGATTCGATTGAGGACTTAAAAGAATAAAGTACTTCTCCATCGTAAAAATAATCTTTAATCTCACATAGTTTATGGGGTGAGTATGAGTAGTTGATTGAGATGAATCCGATTATTAGGTTGATATTTGCCACAACGTGCATCAAATGACCACCTTAAAAAACAAATAAACTGAAATCCACTAGAAAATATGAAAAACCCCTCAAGTTTATTGATTAATAATTAACGCAACGAACTCGGCTCTAACACCCTAAAGGCTGTTTGTATAATCAGATAAAAAGGAGTTGTTTTATGATGTCTCTTAGCCTTATACCTTTTAGGAGCACGTATAAGAAACGAATTAGGAAAAGAACACAAACGGCCTAATTAAAATCTTAAATTGCTGGTAAAGCATATCAAACTATAGAATTCAGCTTAAAATATAACATTCAGATCCCAAAATATGCTAAAGTTAAGTCTTGTTGCCGAATTTGCGCCTTTCAACTTAATTTGCAACCCAATCGCTATTTGATCTACATCAATATTGATCAATGATTATTATTCGTTATCACAAAATAAAAAAAAAGACACTCAGAACTTTTTAATACTGGAGGTAGGCTAGCTAAAGCATCTCCATGGAGACTTGTCTCCTAAAAGGAAAAAAGGACCAAACATTTTGTAATAATTAGTAAAGTTAGGCAACTAAAAAACTAATTAAAAAATATTAATGAATAGGAAAAGTAGACCAATTATGTTGGAAAGAGATATTTTTGAAGGAGTGTCAATAACATATAGTTGGATTTTAAAAAAAAAGTTTAAGAATAATTTGTTTACTTAATAACGTTTTATTAAAAGATAATGCAAGAAAGATAAATTTTTAAATTAAATTTACAAATCAAATAAGAGATAAGTACGTTAACAAAATCTTAATTAATATCCAATTATCTAAAACTACATCATTTAATTTGTAAATTTAATTTAAAAATTTTCATCTTTCTAATATTATCTTTAATTAAATTAAGTTTGAAATTAAGGAAAACTGCTTGAAAATTTTGAGTTTTAATGATAAAGACAAAATAAAGAGTAAAGTGAATAGTATCAGGATTAACTTTTTAGTGTAAAAATGTAATTTTTCATTAAAATAAATAATATCGTGAATTTTTCGTTAAAACTCCCTTAAAATTAATTATTAACCTTTGGTAGAGATGGAGCCATGGCAAGGAAACAAATAAAAGGCAAACAGAGAGCGCCATGTTGTCTTGTGTCCATTTGCCTCACCACAATCATTCCAAACCTGACATCACCCGTGACATCAATTTTCCGACAAGGCCCGAGCGATCCAGCTAACTGAACCCTCCACTTGGCGTCATCTGAACCGTTTAATTCCACCTAAAGATTTCTTCAGCAAACCGTATATCATCCCGCACCACACCTGTTTTCAACTTCTTCCAAAGTTGCACGTTTTCTCTTTGCACCCTCTTCACAGATATCATCGAGTTGTTCAGATCCAGAAAGCTACAGCCTCAAATATTTACCCTAACACACATAGAAAAATCCTAGAAGAAGAAGAAGAAGAAGAGAGAAAGACCCCTAGAAGCACGATGGGTGGTGTGATACACGAAGAGCAGGATCAGAAATACAGCTTGATAAACTTTGAGGAGACAGAACTGCGTCTGGGGTTGCCTGGTGGAATATTAGGCACCGCTGGAAAGGATGGTGAAGCTTCTAAGAACACTGGAAAGAGAGGGTTTGCTGAAACTGTTGATTTGAAGCTCAATATTTCATCTGAAGATCAATCGGCTGGTGATGAAGATCAAGTGGAGGAGATGAAGAAGGAGAAGAATGTTGCTCCTGTTCCTAGGTCAAATAATCCAACTAAGCCTCCTGCTGCCAAGTAAGTTCTCTTTTTACGTAATTACTTGTTTAGTTTGAGTATTACTTAGTGTGTTAGTTGAGTATTACTGTGTCAGTTGAGACGGTACAAATAATTTTCATCGAGTATTACTCACTGTTACTAGAGTATTTTTCTATTAGTTTAGACGATGCAAATGGTTTTTATCTACCGAAAGACGACCGTAAAATTGTGAATTAATTAAGTACGTGCTCATAAAACGAGCACTTGTTAAGTTGACTAAAGTTATATATTATTTCTCTGTACCAAGTTAGAATCTAAATCGCTTGTTACAATTCATCAAACACTAACTTAGAAAGTCGTTTTGTTTGATACATTATTTTTTTGGTTTTATTTTCCATGGATCACATGCATCCAGAGAAATAATTGCCATGAGTATGGACTACGTACAATGTTTGCATTACGTATTGAATTATAGGTATTTTTTGAATGGTTTGGTTTGTTGTCGGGAAGAATATGGAAACCAACAAAACATATAGAATTTTATTTTGCTTTTTTTCTCAACCACTAAACGTGAATTAAGGACAACTCATCAAAAGTAAAACAAGATAGACAAGAACATTACTGTACACACGTGTATATTATTGATTAAATTCTATGAGTACCAAAGATATACTATTTTACGTGTGATAATAATAGTTGATAAAGTTGTCATGTTATACCTTGAGATGTATATTAGTAAAATAATTTATCGTGAAAATAATCTCTTTGTAAAGTAAGTGTAAGCATGCATACATAAACGTTCTTTTACCGATCTTTGTAAAGTAGGGAGCTTTGTTGACTTAAGATTGCTTTTCACGTGTTATAATATGAGTAAAGTAGTAAAGACATGTTACCTAACTATACCACACATTATTGTATTATTACAGGGCTCAAGCTGTAGGTTGGCCACCTGTCCGATCATTCCGAAAGAACATCCTGGCCGTCCAAAAGAATGGCTCTGATGAGGGTGAAAAGACCAACAGTATCACTGCAGCATTTGTTAAAGTCAGCGTGGATGGCGCGCCGTACTTGCGTAAGGTGGACCTGAAGTTGTACAAAAGCTACCAAGAGCTTTCTACTGCCTTAAGCAAAATGTTTAGCTCCTTCACCATCGGTAATTTAATTAATTAATTAATAATGCTTAGTTTAATTACAAGTAACACAATTTTTTTCATACCTTTGGATATTTAGTAACATTCAAAGTGATAAAGCAAGTGGTACTCTAATTGATAGGGATTTTCTCTTCAACCCACTATTTTTCAGTTTCATAGTCTTGTTTTATGGTTTGTGATAAATTAATAAAAACCAAGGAATATATTGCTTAGAAGTAGTTTTTCATACCCTCCTTTCCACTTAGTAATTTACAAGTGATAAAATTTTGCTTAATTTTGGAATATTGAAGGTAACTGTGGGTCACAAGGAATGAAGGATTTCGTGAACGAGAGCAAACTAATAGACCTTCTGAGTGGTTCTGAGTATGTGCCTAGTTATGAGGACAAGGATGGAGATTGGATGCTTGTTGGAGATGTGCCATGGGAGTAAGTTTTTTCTTAACATTATACATATACATATACATATATAGTAGTCGAATTTAATTATATCTAGTTCAAAATTAGGCTGCACATCACTAAATTTATCTTGGATTGTCACAGAATGTTTGTCAATTCATGCAAACGCCTGCGAATAATGAAGGGATCTGAGGCTATTGGACTTGGTTAGTGCCTTAAATTAAATATGTCATGAAAACTCAAGAGTAATTTGTAACAATTTCGGTTTTTAATTTTTTATTGAACGAAAATTAGAACTTATTCGGCAACTATTTTCAGCTCTCAGTTTTTAAAATCAAGCAAAATTTTAAAAAGGGAAAACAGTTGTCAAATAAGTTTAAACTAAAACTTAAAATAAACTGGTAGTCTTCTTTTAATTTGGTCTAATTTTTTCCACTGCATTGCAGCACCAAGAGCGGTGGAGAAGTGCAAGAACAGAAGTTGCTAGATTGCCGTGGGTTGATATTTCTGCCATGGACACAATCAAATGTAAGCAGACCGGCTCTACACAGATGGAGAGCACGAAGTTTGGATGTCTGTGACTCTGTATTTTTTTTCTTTTTTTTTTGGTCGTCTAATGATGTTAATTAAAGTTACATGGAAGAATATATTCGGAGATTTGTTAGGGACAAGAAGCAATAATATATATTATAGAAGATGTTCATACTTCATAGTGGCTCACGTGCAACTTTCTTTATTGTCCATAGCCCTACTGTTTAATAATTATATAATATATATTGCCAGTGTTACTTGTCAATAGTGGTTTTATTTTATTCTCTCTAATTTTTAATTTGGCACTGTACTTTATGCCTTGTGTATGATGAGATTCTCTGCATTATGTTTTCTTATTTTAATTTTTGATGAATGTTTAATGTTAGTTTTCAGAATAATCTGACATTTCCTTTTAAATTATGATATTATTAGTAACTTAAAAGACATTATTTTATATTAATTTTTGATAATTGACTGGTAAAATTCGAACTTAAAATTTCTTTCAACATCACTACGACAAGTGTCAGTGCAATAACACATAATCGATTTATAAAACATTATAATGATTCCGCTCACTCATTTATTTATATTTCCATTTGTTGAGAAGACGATGAATTAGATCCATGAATTTTATATACGTGATAAGGTGGAGCAGGGACATGTGCACATTGTTGGGGGCATTTATTTTTTGATTGATCAATTATGTATGTGACAAGCATAATTTCTAGACAGCTATGCGCAACAAACGAGCTGTCGACTGATCAAATACGCAATTCATGCGGAGAAATTTGTAGCTTAATTTGTTAAAAGTATATATTTTAACATTTGAAGTTTTGCGTTTGATTTATTCATGCTCCAATATTATTTGTACGAAAAGAATACGCAATTTCTAAAATTCTATAGGAAGGACGGACAAAATGTATGCAACAATACGTGCATAGTTATGCTGGTGCCTGCTGGTTTATATCAATATAAATAAATTGGTTGCACTTTTGTATAAAGTTGCTAACATATTTGGTAATTGTGTGGAATTAATCAAACTTTTAGCACTATTTAAACAAGTACATGGTTATGGTTATTTAGTCTAATGACACTCTGTTATTTGCATAAAAATGTTAATATCTAACTTTGATAAGCACCTTCCAACCAAAAAAGAAACTTTTATAAGCAACAATTCTTCGATAAATTTTGAGAAAATGATTTATGCACACTATTTTTTATACTTGTACACATTTTTCTTTCTAACCATTGGATTAACAAAAAGAAATCAATGATTCAAATTTAAAAAATTGTTCGGAAGGTGAATAAGAGTACAAAAATCACCCTCCGGCTGTATTTCTTTTTAAGTATTTTTGAGAATGGGAGAAGTTGAGTTATTCCCTATATTGCCAATTGGTTTTAAGATGAAACCCCAACTTTTTTTTCATGGTAAAAGAACAAGTTAGCTCATGTGTGAAACCCAACGGTCATACATGCTCTACGTCACTTAATTTGTGTTGTCCACGTGTTAGGCCTGAAAATTCGTCACAAGGGCTTGTAAAGAGTTGAGCTACTCTCCATATTGTCAATTGGTTTTATGGTAAAACCCTAACTCTCTTCAGTATTCATATCTTTGGATGGCATTGATAGCTACCGGGACCAAATAATTGAAAAATAATATGGACCATTTCCTCCATTCATGCACCTCTAGCCTCTATCCCCTGCCTTTGAATCTAACCATCTCAGACAAGTCACAGCAGGAACTTACGATACGAATATGAAATGAACCTAAGCTAGCTAGCTCGATTCTCAGAAGCATGAACAGTAAATTAGAGAAGAACATGCATGCATAAAGACCATATATTATTGCAGGAATGCCGGAGATGGTGGTTCTTTTGTGCAACTGTAAGATCACCCGCCAGCATAAAAATTGGGATTTGAGAATCTAATTTTCTCTTTCAAAGATGTTTAACTATTCAAATATTGATAATAAGTCAAACATTTTTATAATATTCGTATATCCCTTCTCCTTATGGGAAGTGAATTATTTTCTAATCTATAGCCTAGGGCTGGTTTCGGTTTCGTAACCAAACCGAAAATGCCAAATTAAAAACCAAACTGAAATTTTGGTTAACGAAAAAATCAAATTAAAACCGATCGAATCAAAATTTCGGTAACCTGAACAAATTAGATTTGCTTCGGTTTGGTTTGGTAAACAGAAAAAATAAATCGGCCTTTGTTTGAATTTGAGTGTCAAATTTTTATGTAACTTCAAATTTTAAATGGCATATAATTAAGTTTAAGTTGAAACTTGAAATTGAAAACAACTAGCAAATGAGTGAGGTAGAGAGTGAGAGAATGAGTCGAGAGGGAGGGAGAGAGAATAACAGAATAAAATTGTTTTTATGAACCAATAGTTGAGATTAATTTCAACCAAATACAATAATATATCATATATTTGTAATAATAATAAAACTTCGGTTTTGATTACGGTAAAATCCAACCTACCAAGTTTGCTTATCAAAATTGAACCGAAAAGTTTAGTAAATTTCAGTTTCGGTAATTTTGATTTCGATTTCAGTTCAGGAAATGTCAACTCTATCCATAGTATAAAAGGCTAGGGTCTCGCAAGTTGCATGAACACCGACACGAAACTTGGGATTTGTAAACTTTGTCCCTTACTTTCTAGGATTCTTCCAGTTTACAATTTTTTTTAGCAACTTTAATTTACACTTTAAAATTCAAACCATTCAACTCACTTGCAGCGAATATACATATTATATTGGCAAGTGCACTTCATGCTCCACGCATATTTTCCTTTTAAATTTTTGTAAACATGATGCGTAGTTTAATCAAATGAACAATAGGTTTTACTTAGTTATCTCAAATCCACAGGTGGACTCGAATGTGTAAATTTTACTTGTTTAAATGTTGTTTTAGTAACCCATAATCTCATAGCAACGAGATTTGGAGACTAGGTTGGCCACAGTGATCACATGTTCAGTAAGGACGGTTAGAGTCGCCAGTTGGGTAAAAGTGGAATTGTGAAAAAGAAGGCTTTCTTGAATACTCCACAAGAATCTGGTGGTGTTGATTTGTCACTGACTGAGCCAGCTACCTACAAGATTGCTTTAAAAGTTCATGTTTGGTTGAAAGCTATAAAGGAAGAGGTTGATGCTCTTCATTCTTAGGGTACATGGAGTCTGGTGTCTTTGCCTGTAAACAAGAATTTGGTGGGTGTGTAAATGGATATTTAAGATCAAAAAGCACGCATATGGGTTTATTGCTAGACATAAAGTCAGATTAGTGGCAAAAGGATTCAGTCAAGAACCAGGACTGGATTATGGGGAAACTTTTAGCCCTGTAGTTAAGCCAACTACAGTGAGGATTGTATTGGCACTTGCAACACATTTTAGTTGGACTTTAAGACAGTTAGATGTCAAGAATGCTTTTCTGCATGGCATTCTTCAAGAAGAAGTCTACATGGCTCAGCCTCCAAGTTTTGTGGATCCCAATCATCCAAATTTAGTCTGCAAACTTCATAAATCATTGTATGGTTTAAAACAAGCTCCTAGAGCTTAGAATGAGAGGTTTACTGAATTTCTACCTAAATTGGGGTTCAAGAATACATATTCTGATTCATCTTTATTTGTGAAACAAGTGGATTCTGGTATTGTCATTATGTTTTATATGTTGATGACATTATAATTACTGGTATGCAACTAGCGCAAATCAAGAGGTCATTCAAGCTCTCACAGCTAAGTTTGAGATCAAAGACTTAGGACCATTGCATTATTTTCTAGGAATACAAATTTCCAATACCAAAACTAGGTTATTTCTATCACAGACTAAATATGTGCAGGATTTGTTAGTCAAGACATAAATGATTGAGTCAAAACCTTGTGACGCTCCATGTCTACCATATAACAGATTGCTTAAAGATGATGGTCAGCCTTATGGGAATCCAACTTTGTACAGGAGCATTGTAGGAGCATTATAGCATCTCACTTTCACCAGGCTTGATATTGCATTCTCTGTGCATCAGGTTTGCCAATTTATGCGGAATCCCATGGTTGCACACTTTACAGTGTGAAGAGAATTTTGAGGTACTTAAAAGGGACACTGCATTTGGGAATCAGTTATAATCGAGAAAAGTTTAATTTAATAGCATTCAGTGATGCTAATTAGGCAAGAGACCCAAATGATAGAAGATCTACCATTGGATTAGTTGTGTTTCTTGGACAAGTCTTATTTCTTGGTATTTTAAAAAACAACAAACTGTTTGTAGGTCCTCGACTGAAACCTAGATTTGGTCCACTTGTGATGCTAATAAGCCCTTGGAGTGGCGTCGGAAGTTTGGTTGGACGGCGTTTAGCGGCGCCGTCGGGCTTCGGGGTCAAGCATCTTGTGGCAAGTGCTAATGGGTACGTCCATACATGATTTTTTATTTTTTTTGGATATAGTTATACAATTAATGATACCCTATATGGGATATAAGTTATAAGTTATATAATGAGACAATGTAATAATTAAATATTGAATTTGTTATTCAAATCTTCCACATCTAAGTGAATATATAAGAATAGTACGTAATGAAGTAAGTAATTTTTTTTGCGACAAACACACATGCTCAATTAGAGTTTACTAGAACTACAAGAAAACAAGGTTTTTGTGGCTACAAATTTTTGTCACATAAACATGAAAATTTGTCACATTTAACTATATGTTTTTTTTTTTACGAAATTCAAGTTAGCGTCATTGTTTGAGTCACCTATTCAACGCAAAAGAAAGTCGGCACCACAAAATTCTGTCAACTAACCCGTGTTTTCTTGTAGTGTGGAAATGATTAATTTCATTTGATTTGTTACACCTCAGGTGACAACCGTGAGGACAGGAGCTCAGGCAAAGGTGAGAATTGGTGATCAGTGCAGTAATGGAGACCTAGATTTGGACGAGGGTGTGTTTAAATGACCGGACACTGGTGGGAAAGGCGATGCCCCAGACCAACTTATGGCCAACCACCAGTTTGTCAGTTGTGGCGATTAAACCGTACACTAGCTACTCTCATTTCTCTTATGGTTATAGCCAAAAGGGATTAATAAATAATGGAAACTGCTCCCTTTGATATCAACTTGTGGTATTTATTGGCTGCCGATGCCAGAGCAGTCATGTATCTACTTCTCAGGTTGCTACTTATAATTATTAATTATCCATTATGTTTAGAGGAAGAATAATAAAGGATGAATCCCTTATGGTGAAAAACAAAAAAAAACTTGCATGTGCTAATAAATAATTGAACTTACATTTTGTCAATATATAGTTATGTGGGGTTATGAGGGCCTAGTGGAAAAGAGTGTCACGAAGCAAGTGCAGAGGACCATCAGGGTGCTTGATTTCTATTGTGGCACTAGCCTTCCTTCTTGCTATTTTTCATATTATCAATTGATTTTAAATTGAAACGTCAACTTTATTCATGGCATTAAATTTGGGTTTTCTTATGTATGAAGTCCAACAGATACATGTGTTTCACGTCACTCAATACATATTGTTTCGGTATTTGGCATGAAATTCACCACTCGTAAAAAGGTGGGATCCTTCTAGTGACTTTTTTTCTTTCTCTAGGTTTCATCAAGAGGCTTGTCAAATCACTCATTTTTTGGTAGTTGATATTGTATATACAACTGCGCATACGAAGAGGATATCCTTGTTATTAATGCCATTTTTTTATTAATAAGATGTGAAATCAGTGCTGGGGCTCTGGTAAACTTCCAAAACTTCACTACAAATCAAATTATTTATGTAAATTATGTTAAATCTATCTCGATTCTTTCATCATACTAAATTATTTATGTAAATTATGTTAAATCTATCTCGATTCTTTCATCATACTAAATTATTTATGTAAATTATGTTAAATCGATCTTGATTCTTTCATCATACTATATATAATAAGACTTGCAAAATGTTAAATGTGAGTTATGCCCGTGAGCTTCGACGGCAGATATGTAGAAAGCTGGTCAAAGTGGCCGTGCAGATCGATCGATGCATCCAGGAAATCACCTTGTTACGTTACTCAACATTGTCTCTTAGGTTCAAGTTGATACATAAAACAAACGTACACAACAATGAGAAATTTTGCATCGATTCTAAATATTAACTTGCATGTAAATTTGACATGCGAATAACGATGAACTTTTTCATATAATCCTATATTCTTAATTAATTTTTACAATATTGTTTTAATAGAGGAGTGCATTTTGCTGTCGGGTTTATTCATTGGCTTTATATGCATTTTCTTAGGGTCCACTTCATTTTGCTGTCGGGTTTATTCATTGGCTTTATCTGCATTTTCTTAGGGTCCACTTCAGTATTACATAGAATTAAATGTTATGAGCATTGGATGGTCTGAATTTACGGGATCAAATAATCCAAACCAATTAACTTTGGTGTTACATATAATGTCTGGTAAACTCTCGATGTGAGAAAACACTTTCTCCCTAATTGGCTTGTGGCGTTCCTATTTTATTCAAATTATAACATGTGAATTTATTTTTTTCTTTATATATTTTCAAAGTCGTCCATCTTATAATGATACGTAAAATGATACATCACATGGCTTGGTTTATCATTATTTATCCTAAAGTGTTAGATTGCTCTTAAAGAGCTATAAAGCAGCCCACACAAGTTCAATGCTTTCTTTGGGTATTCTAGTTTTCATTTTTCTAGAACTACATACGTTGTATTATGTCTGTTTGGACATTGTTTTATGAATGTTCTTTACCATTTGAAAAAAAAGGTTTTTTCATTCTTGGCTCAATTTTCTTTGTGTAGTGCGATATGTGCCTTCTGAAGTAAATGCCTATTGTTGGTTTGTCGAAGTTCATCAAAAAGTTAAATTTCATTTTGATCATTTAATTAATTTGCGTAAATTATCGCCTACAAATATTATAATGTGTATATGTGAATAATTAAAATGATAAAATTAAAATCTTAATCTAATAACCGGGATTAATCAAAACATCATTGTGATGATCTGATTTTCTATATTTTTCTGGTAGTACACAAGTCAACTAGTTGCTCTAGTCTCTCTCTCTCTCTCGTGTCAATATATACGATATATGTATTGTACATTTCACAATGCGCTGCTGTATGCCGTCTTTGTCACGTCCAACAGTAAGGTTTAAAGCCTCTATATCTATTGTATCCAAAGCCGATGCAAAAACTCATCCCTCAGTTGAGTCCTGAGTCGTGAAGGTGATAGTGGTAGCCAATTAACTCGCCTACGCCCCATACAATTCCAACTTCCCAAAGGTTAGATTACCCTCGGCCTCTAACTTCAACTAACCCTAAATTACAGATCACATAAACCACGAAATGGCAGGGAAGATTGCACCATGGTTTGTATTGTTAGTTTCGGTCATTATCTGTGTACTAGAGGGAAGTGCGTGGGGACAAAGTGCTACTGTGGGATCCACATACCACCTCTACAATCCAGCCCAAATCAATTACGACTTGCGGGCTGTTAGTGCATTCTGCTCAACATGGGATGCCGATCAATCCTACGAATGGCGCAGCAAATATGGATGGACTGCATTTTGCGGACCTGCTGGCCCTAGCGGAGAGGACGTTTGCGGAAAGTGCCTCTTGGTACGTATTAGTTAGTTAGCATTAAAACGCTCCTACATTAACATATTAGCTGATTAGCTTAGAACGTTCCTTTTAACATACTAACTGTTAGCACCAGAACGCTCTTATACTAAATGTGTGTGTACAATTTTAATTTGATGAATTTATATATGTGCAGGTGACAAACACTGGGACAGGAGCACAAACAGTGGTGAGAATTATTGATCAATGCAGCAACGGAGGGCTAGACTTGGATGTGAATATGTTTAACCAAATTGACACCGACGGTAGTGGCTACGCATCAGGCCACCTTATCGTCAACTACGATTTTGTCGACTGCGGCGACTAAAGCCTATAACCCCGGATGAATTCAGTAGCTTAGTAGTGAACTTAACTTATACTGCTGATAAATAAGCTTCACCATGGAATAAATTGAAGCGGAATTGCTTTCTTGTATTATAACAAGAGGTATTATCAGATATCGTAATGTACTTCAACCTTATGATAAATATAGATGTGATCATCATGGTGAATGATTGCACCATTAGTAAGGGCTTCCCTCTTTTAATGAAAGGATTGCATGCTATATGTAAACAAGAGAACATTTCCTTGTCATTCGGTGAATTTCATAAGGTCCAAAATCATTAGTTTAAATTATTGTTTCTCTTTTTTATTTTAACTTTAAAAATCAATAAAAAATAATCTTGGGACCTAATAAATAGTAGGATCACATCTGAATGTCTTGCAACATTTTGTTTGGCTCCCATGCAAAATATTTCCTAAAATTAAAAAATTTCAATTTTTTCACAAAAACTGTGAGTTATAACCCACATTTTCAAATCGTTTTGAAAATTTTTATTAAATTCATTTTAAGCCAAAATTTGAGTAATTCTCGTCACACCACATGTTCCTAAAATTATCTAGGACATTCTGAAGATTTGCGACACATACAAATAAATTTGGGGCCCTATATTAGTTTATATTATTTTCTCTATTTTCAACTTTAAAAATCAATAAAAAAATAATCTCGGGACCTAATAAATTGTAGGGTCACATCCAATGGTCTTGCAATATTTTCCTTTGCTCCCATGCAAAATATTTCAAAAAACGAAAAATTTCAATTTTTTCACAAACTGTTGCACAAACTGTTGCACTACATGTTACACAATTTTTTCACAAACTGTTGCATGGGAGCTAAGGAAAAACGAAAAATTTCAGTTTTCAAATCGATTTTGGAAAATTTTGAAAGATTCATAAGCTAAAATTCAAATCATTCTTGTTGCACTACATGTTTTCTAAAATTAAGTTAGGATTTTCCGAAAGATTTTCGACACATAAAAATATATTTGGGGGCCCCTCTATTAATTTATATTATTTTATGGATTGTTTAATTTTAAAAATCAATAAAAATTAGTCTTGAGTCCTAAAAAATAGTAGGGTCACATTCAAAGGTCTTGCATCATTTTCCTTAGCTCCCATGCAAAATATTTAAAAAAAAAACAAAAAATTTCAATTTTTTTTTCACAAAAATTGTGAGTAATAACCCATGTTTTCAAATCCATTTTGAAAATTTTTACATGATTTATTATAAGCCAAAATTCCAGTCATTCTCAACGCACCACGTGTTTTCTAAAATTAAGTTAGGATATTCTTAAGATTTTCAACACAAAAATATATTTGGGCCCTGTAAGATCCCACATCGCCTAGGGGTGAGGATCCTGTAAGCCTTATATGTATATTCTCATCTCTACTTAGCACGAGGTCTTAGTACGAGGCCTTTTGGGAGCTCACTGACTTTGGATTCCATTGGGAAGTTCTCGTGTGAGTTCCCAGAAACAAAACTGTGAGGTTGTGGTTGGGGCCCAAAGCGGACAATATCGTGCTACGGTGGAGTCGAGCTCAGGGCGGGATGTGACAGGCCCTCTATTAGTTTATTTTATTTTCTATATATTTTCAACTTTAAAAATCAAGAAAAAAATAGTCTCGGGATCAAATAAATAATAAGGTCACAATCAAACATCTTGCAACATTTTCAAAAACTAAAAATGTCATTTTTCCCCCACAAAACTATGATTTATAACCCACATTTTCAGATTGATTTTTTGAATTTTTACATGACTTATCATACGCCAAAATTCGGGTCATTCTCATCACACCACATGTTTCCTAAAATTAATTTAGGACACTCCGAAGACTTTGGACACATAAAAATATATTTGGAGGGCATTTATATTATTTTCTCTATTTTTCAACTTTAAAAATTAATAAAAAATAGTCTCGAGACCAAATAATTAGTAGGATCACCTCCAAGGGTCTTGCAACATTTTCCCTAGCTCCCATGCAAAATATTTCAAAAAACTAAAATTTTCAATTTTTTTTCACAAAAACTGCGAGTTATATAATGTTATAACCCATGTTTTCCAATCAATTTTGGAAAATTTTACAAGATTATTATAAGCCCACACTTTAGCAATTGTGGTCGCACCACATACATGTTTCCTAAAATCAATAGAGGATATTCCGAAGAATTTTGACACATAAAAATATACTTGGGCTCCCCTATATATTATTTTATATTATTTTCTCTATTTTCAGCTTAAATCAATTAAAAATAATTACGTGACCTAATAAATTGTAGGATTGTGGCATCCCACATTGCCCAGGGGAGTGATCCTTATATGTATATTCCCATCCTTACCTCGCACGAGGTCTTTTGGGAGCTCACTGGCTTCAGGTTCCGTAGGAACTCCGAAGTTAAGCGAGAAGGGGGCTAGAACAATCCCATGATGGGTGACCCACTAGAAAGTTGCTCGTGAGTTCCCAAAAACAAAACCATGAGGGAATGGTAAGCCCAAAGTGGACAATATCGTGCTACGGTGGTGGAGCGGGCCCAGGAAGTGATCCCGCCCGGGCCGGGATGTGACAATTTGGTATCAGAGCCTATCTATGATCGCGTGTGTGCCGACGAGAACGTCGGGCCCCTAAGGGGGTGGATTGTGGCATCCCACATCGCCCATGGGAGTGATCCTTATATGTATATTCTCATCCCTACCTAGCACGAGGCCTTTTGGGAGCTCACTGGCTTCGGGTTCCATGGGAACTCCGAAATTAAGCGAGTAGCGCACGAGAGCACTCCCAAGATGGGTGACCCATTGGGAAGTTCTCATGTGAGTTCCCATAAACAAAACCATGATGGCGTGGTTGGGGCCCAAAATGGACAATATCGTGCTACGGTGGAGTCGGCCCCGGAAAGTGGTCCCGCCCGGGTATATTCCCATCCCTACTTAGCACGAGGCCTTTTGGGAGCTCATTAGCTTCGAGTTCTATGGGAACTTCGAAGTTAAGCGAGTAGCGCACAAGAGCACTCCCAGGATGGGTGACCCATTGGGAAGTTCTCGTGTGAGTTCCCAGAAATAAAACCGTGAGGGCATGGTCGGGGCCCTAAGCGGACAATATCGTGCTACAATGGAGTCGGACCCGGGAAGTGGTCCCGCCCGGGTTGGGATGTGACATTTGGCATCAAAGCCTAACCCTGGTCGCATGTGTGCCGACGAGGACGTCGGGCCCCTAAAGGGGGTGAATTGTGGCATCCCACATCGCTCAGGGGAGTGATCCTTATATGTATATTCTCATCCCTACCTAGCACGAGGCCTTTTGGGAGCTTACTGACTTCGGGTTCCATGGGAACTCCGAAGTTAAGCGAGTAGCGCACGAGAGCACTCCCATGATGGGTGACCCATTGGGAAGTTCTCGTGTGAGTTCCCATAAACAAAACCATGAGGGTGTAGTCGGGGCCCAAAGCGGACAATATCGTGCTACGGTAAAGTCGGGCCCGGAAAGTGGTCCTGCCCGGGCCGAGATGTGACAAGGATAGTATCCAAAGATCCTTATAACATTTTCCTTAGCTCTCATATAAAATATTTCGTAAAACTAAATTTCAATTTTTTCACGATAACTATGAGTTACAACCCATGTTTTAAAATCAATTTTGGAAAATTTTCCAAGATTCATTATAAGCCAAAATTCAAGTCATTCTTCTCGCACCACATGTTTTTTAATATGAATTTAGGTCATTTCGAAGATTTTTTGACACAAAAAAATATATTTAGGGGTTTTCAAATTTTCAATTTTAAAAATCAATAAAAAAAATTGTTTCTGGACCTAATAAATTGTAGGATCCATTCAAAGGTCTTTGCAATATTTTTCTAAACTCCCACATAAAATATTTCGTAAAAATAAAAATTTCTAAACTCACATTTTTAAATCGATGTTGAGAATTTTTACAAGAATCATTATAAGCAAAAATTCGAGTTATTCTTTTTGCACCACATGTTTCTAAAACTAATTTAGGACATTCCAAAGAATTTCAACACTTTAAATCACTTTGGAGGCCCTCAATTAGTTTATATTATTTTCTCTATTTTCTAACTCTTAAAATCAATAAAAAATAGTCTAGGGACCTAATAAATGGTAGGATCACATCCAAAGGTCTTGCAACATTTTCCTTAGGTCCCACGCAAAATATTTCCAAAAACTAAAAATTTCAATTTTTTTTTTCTTCACAAAAATGTGAGTTATAACCCACTTCAAATCGATTTAGGGAATTTTACAAGATTCATTATAAGCCAAAATTTGATTCATTCTCGTCGCACCACATGTTTAGTAAAATTAATTTAGAACATTCCGAAGATTTTTGACACATAAAAATATATTTGGGTGACAGTCTATTACTTTTTTTTCTCTCTTTCTATTTTTCAACTTTAAAATCAATAAAAAAATGATTTCGGGACCTAATAAATTGTTGGATCGCATCCAAAGGTCCTTGTAACATTTTTGTTTATTTATTTTTGACTCGCATTTCGGATTTGAGGTTTTTTGCCAACCCCGGTCCGGGGCGTGATAAATTAAGCTCACAATTCTCACTATTCTTATGGAGCCCTCTTCCCAGATTAGATGGTCTCCGCCTAATGGTGCGTCTCTCAAGCTTAACTTTAATGGGTCTGTTATCCTCAATTGCCAAGCTGCCAGTGTTTTTGTTATCCGTGATGCGTCCAGTTCCCCTCTACTTGCTGGAGCTCGAAAAGTTGGTACTGCTAATTAATGTGTTGATTGCGTAGGGTCAAGCTTTGCTAGACGGGCTGCATGCAGCCCTTAATACTGCAGGCTAAGTTACATGAAAGTTGAAGGTGATTCTAAAATCCTGTCCCCTGGAGGCTTCGTACTATTATTTGGAACATCCAGAGTCTTGGTTGTCGTTTCGTTGCTATTGATTTCCATCATGTGTTCCGTGAGGTCAATTGAATTTGTTGCCCATGCCCTTGCTGCTATGGGTCAAGCTTTCTCTTCTGAGTCCCGTATTTGGTCTGCTTGTTGGGACTCTGTTGGTGTTGGCTGCCCGAGGAGAGAAGTTTTTTTTTGTAATTTCTTTGTTCTTTTTAGAAAAAAAAACCTTTATGTTGCATGTTTAGCTGATGATTCGAATCTTCTCATATTAAAATTACGTAAACAATATTACGGTCAAGTTAAAACGATTAATGACACATTGGTTTTTGCACGAAAACAATTATCTTAACACCACCAACCTAAAACTATTGGCAACATTCAACAATTATTACAACGATTCACAATGTTAAATAATTATTACAGTGTTGCCAATAATGATTCAAATTGTTAAAGAATTATCGCAGCGCTGCCAATATAAAATGATTCAAATGTTGAACATTTATCATAACGCCGCAAACTTAAAACAATTCACAATATTAAACAATTATCACGGCACCGCCAACTTAAAATGATTTGCAACATTAAACAATTATTACAAGACGCGAACTTAAAATGACTCACAACATATAACTGTCACAATGAATGAGGTCAATTTCTTTAATGGAAATAAAACCATATTTTGGATAAGTATGCCACCAAAAATGGTAAGGTATCCATCAGTTTTCAAATAACCTTACCCAAAAGGAAAGAACATTAAATAAAATTGAAATATATGAACCTATACCTATTAGGTGTAGGGCTTACTCACTATATGTTACGTGTTATACAACAGAATTGGTAAAAGGTTTTTAGTGCAAGCACAAATACACAACAAAAAAGCATTGTCTTTCTCAGATAATGAGGATTAAGGAGGAGGAGGAAGAGATGGCTGCCGCTGGTGGTAGTCAGGTGGTGAAAGTGAAGAGGGAGATCATCGAGGCATGCTTGAGTGCAGTCTTTGTAATAAGGTGTCAAAGGAGGCTACAACCATTTCATTCTGCCTCCATACGTGTGAGTTTCCTTTTTTTAATCTCCTCTACCCTCAATTGAAAACTGAAATGTGTGATTTTTTTTGTCTTTGCTGATTAACACCTGAAGACGTTGCGAAAATTCGTATCATTTCTTGTAATTTTTAAGAAAAAGGTTTTCTTTTAGAAGAATTTTCTCGATTATTTATGTAATTCAACGCTGAATCCGAAACCAGTTTGCAGAAAGTGCATCTTCGATAAACTGTCAGAGGAGTAGGACAGATGTCCAGTATGTGATACTTATCTCGGCAATTTGCCTGTGACAAAACTCAGGTGATGTTCCTATATTCTAACGGTAAATGCATCGTGTCGCTGGTTCCTTGGGTTCATTATTAAGGATTTACCAAAATTTTTTATTTCATTCATTTATTATTATTATTCTTTTAGGAAAACATGGAAGGTACAAGAGAAATTTATTGATATGAAAAAAGAAGTTACACCTAGTCAGGAGGGGACATAAACCTTACCCCTCCTTGAGCAAGAAAAATGAAATACAAGAAAAGAGGGGAGACATAAACCTTATCCCTTTTGAAAGTAAATATCCTACAGAAATGCAATTAGTGGACTCGAATACGTATATAGTACTGTTAGTCACATTACCTTCCTTCCCAAAGTTAAGTACCATAGGGCAGATAATTCTATTCTTGGAAAAAAAAAAAAAAAAAAAGAGTACCGTAGGGAAGATAATAAATCGATGCCTGTTTATTATCGATTAGCAACAGGAAAAGAAACAGATTTGGAAAATGGTTCTGGAAAAAATCATGACCTAATTGTGGTTTTGCATTGAAAATTGTTAACAAATTTAAAATTTCTGTAACTAAGGTTTCTTCTTGCACATTGTCATATGACTTTACGCAAGTGCGTAGTTTTTTTCGTTGTACTAGTTTTTCGATCATAATGTTGCAAATGTGTGCGGGAGCTTTACGTTGAAATGTTCTTAATTACACGTGTTAAATGATCTGCAGTCCAGACCATATTTTGCAAAATTATAGCCAAGATATATTTCCCGTTAAAAGGAAGAAAGTCGATGCACCGGAAGTTAGGGAGCACGAAGCTAATAATCCTGATGTTACACCTTCCTCATTAGGAGGATGCCGTTTTTCTGCTGAAGAACCTCTAGAAATAGATGATTCTGCAGAAGATTATCCAGTGAGCTCCTGCGCATGCAATGACCTCTCAAAATAAGTTGCTAGTAAACGGGGGTAGGGTTTTGATTAATTATATGTGCTTTATCTTAGCTTTTATGGCTTCTAGATTAAGCACTTTCAGTAGTGTTTGTTTAACTGTGTTTCTAAAAGTAATTAGTCCAATTGATGAACAGATGGATGACTGGATTGAAGAGTAGGTCAAGAAGTGCAAAGCAGGCAACATGATCCAAGGATTGCAAATTAGGGTTTTGGCATCAGAATTAGGGTTATAATATGTCATTTTCAAAAGAACTGTGTGTAGGTAGCTTTGCTCCTGACATAGGGATAACTTTGGCAGTTTGTTAATTGTTTATTTTGTTTTCTCTTTAACTTTTTCTTATGGGTTTGGTTTTATGTTTTGGATGTATAAATACACCGCTTGGGTGTTAGAATTGTCATCTTTTCGACTATTATTCAATAAACTTGAATTTACTCAATTTCCTTGTGGATTCTAACTTTGGAATTTCGTTCGATTTCTCTTTCTTATAAATCTTACTGCATCACCAACATTCAACAAGGTTGAAAAGCTTTCCCACCTTATCTTCAATGTCATCTTACAATTCCAACGTATTCAAGGGATATTCAAAGCTATGTTTTAGCAATTCCTTGATAATCTATTCACAAAATGGCCGGGAAGTTCAGACGATGATCTGTGTTTTGGCCATGGCGGGCAGTGCATGGAGACAAAGAGCTGACGAATGTTAGAGCGACAAGTTTTCTCTATAATCCACAGCAAAACAACTACGACTTGTGGGCCGTATTATAGAATCTTACGTAATGTATGTATGCATATATATGTGTGTGTGTGTGTGTGTAGGTGACAAACGCCGGGATTGGAGTTCAAGCAACAGTGAGGAGTGTTGATCGGTGCAGCACCAACGGAAATGGCAATGCCAAGGCCGCCTTATCGTTAAAGCGATTCACACAAAATAAGCATGTCATAACGAATGGAGTCACTTTTGTTTGCAGAAATAAACTTATTCTTTGAATAAGTATGCAATCAAAAATGCTTAACAACATTAAACAATTATTACATCGCTGCCAATTTAAGAGAAGGTGTATTCAATTAGGATTTTGAGACATTTTAATTCTTTTAATGAATCTAGGGGTATTCAATCAGGATTTTAAGTGATTATCTGAAATTCAATGTGTATTCAATCAGGATTTTAAAATAGTTTATTAAAATGCTTATAAATCCGGGTGTATCAATTAGAATTTTAAAAAAGTTTATAACATTCAAGGTATATTTAATTAGAATTATAATTTAGAGAATTTGGAAAAGTTGAGGACTTAAAGGGAATTGAAAAGATTTTGTAGTGTGTTTTAAGCATTCACAAATCTTACATTTTCCCATAAAATTTCGAGAGAATTGAATCAAAATTTTACATAGAATATCAACAAATCAGTTAAACCCTGAAAAAATCCATGGATTTATAAATCTATTAAAATCTCTCAAATTCCCAATTGAATACACCCTCCTAAAATAATTCACAACGTTAAAAACTTGTTAAAACGACACCAACTTAAAAAGATTCAAAAGATTAACAAATCACATGATATTACTGTAACAACGAATAGAGTCACTTTGTTGTATGGAAATAAACTTACATGTTGGATAAGCATGCCACCTAAAATGGTAACAAATCCGTCATTTTCCAAAAAAAAAAAACCACCTTATCCTGGAAGAAAATATTTGAACCTAGACCTATTAGGTGCAGGGCCCACTCACTGCTACGTGTAACGTGTATACAAGAGGGTTGGTAAAACCAAAATCACAGGCAAAACTCCCTCTCTCCTCTCACAGACACGCACACACACGCACATTCTCTCTCTCACTCCAAACTCTCTCGCTCGTGTTTTTTCATCGAAGCTCAACCTTGTCCAAAAATCCCCAACAAACCGAACGTGATTTTCCCGCAAGCAATCACAACCCTTCTCTTAATTTCGCCCCAAAAGCCCGCCACTTTCTTCACTCCCCTCAGATCCGACACCTCCAACCATCCGACACGTCCGATGAAACCCAAAACAAAGCCCCACCCTTTCCTTAATTTCCTCGCATAATCATACGAAAACCTCTGCGTCTCTGTCGGGTCGGGCGTTGAATGTGGTTTGGGGGGGTGGGGGAGGGGAACGTAGACACAGAGGTTCGGAGATTATAAGGACTGAGGAGGTGGAGGAAGAGATGGCGGCTGGTGATGGTGGTGGTCAGGTGGTGAAAGTTAAGAGGGCGAAACTGGAGGCATGCATGACGTGCCCTCTTTGTAATAAGCTGTTGAAGGAGGCTACAACTATTTCACTCTGCCTCCACACGTGTGAGTTTCCTTTTTAATCTCCTCTTCCCTTAATTGTTTCATAATTTTCTGCTAATTTTATGATCTGGGTCTGTTCTTGTTTTTCCATTTCTGCATAATTTGTGTTTTGGTTGCAAATTTTCGATTGTTTCTGCAATTTGGACACTAAAATGTGTGATTTTCTTGTTTGTGTTGATCAACACCTGAGCACGTCGTGAAATTTTCGTGTCATTCCTTGAATTTTTGTTTAATTTGTTTCTATTGCCATGCCTTTCCATAGAATTGAATGAGAAGGCTTTGTTTTCGAAGAATTTTGTCGATTATTTCTGTAATTCAATGCTTACTTTTGTAAAATGTTGAATTCGAAACCAGTTTGCAGGACGTGCATTTACGAGAAGTTATCAGATGATGAGGGGGACTGCTGTCCCGTCTGTGAAATTGATCTCGGAATTTTACCTGTCGAAAAACTCAGGTAAATGTACCTATATTCTGAACCGATGACGCTTCATCTTCCCTTGAATTACAATTTCACATATTGGTTAGCCAGTTTTAGGTAAATGCATGGTGTTGTTGGTAACTTATAGAAGTGAAGTTAGTGGACTCCTATACTTATGTAGTGTTAGTCGCATTGCCCTGCTTCCCAACCTACCATAGGGGAGATATTAAATCGACGCTTGTTTATTATCGTTTAGCAATAGGGAAAGAAAGTAGATTTGGTAAATGGTTCTAAAAAAATTAACGACGTAACTGTGGTTTTGCTTAGAAAGTTGATGTTTTATCAATCATCAGAATAATTTGAAACTTTCCAGACTGAGATAAAGGCAGATTTTTTTTATCCCATAATTAATGCTTTATCAAGATACCAATATCTGTTATTAGGGTGCCTACTTGCACTCTGTCATATGATTTTATACAAGTCAATAGTTTTTTTTGTTGTACTGAATTTCCAATCACAATATCGTAAATGTGCGCTGGAGCATTACGTTAAAATGTTTCACACATGCTTAGGAAGTTGTTTGATGATCTGCAGGCCAGACCATAATTTGCACGATATTATAGCCAAGATATTTCCTGTTAAAGGAAAGAAAGTTGATGCACCTGAAGCCAACAAGCCTGAAGCTAATGATCCTGATGTTACGCCATCTTCGTTGCCAGTGAAAAGGAAGGAGAGATCATTATCTTCATTGGTAGTCAGTGCCCCCAAAGTTCCAGTGCAGTCAGGTATGACTGGAAAGAGATCAAGAGCTTTGTCAAGAAAGGGTGCTGCTTTACGAGGATGCAGTTTTTCTGCTGAAGAACCTGCAAAGAAGGATGATTCTACAGAAGACCATCCAGTGAGCTCTAACTCAACTGGTAATCTTGTTGAATTCGCACGAAATAAGAGCCAGGTAAAGGGGGGCAGGATTTTGGTTATTCGCACGAAACAATAGTATTTATGTTTAGTTTCATTGCAAAACCAAACAAGTCCAATGCTTTATGTTGAGAAAACAGTTAGAAAATATGATACATCCATCATAACTCTAACACAAGTTATTCACTTCGGAAATCAGGTCACACTCGTACATGAACTAGGAAACCCTGTAAAAAGAAAGGAAAACCAATATTCTTTTATGGTACGAAATAAGATTTTCTAGCTGGTCTTCGTTACTTTATTCTTCAACATTCTCTCTCAAGCTTGAGTGAAAATGATCACGCTCAACCTTTTTCAAGTAAAAAAAACCCCAAAGATCTTGCCAGGTGCCCTTGCATTTATCGGTTGGTTTATCTAACTGTTGCATCATTCTCTCTTCCATGTGGATTTGGGTTTCTCATATTAATTGGAAGGCAGTCAGGTAGCTGATTGCTTATCAAACTTTGATGTTGATCATACTGGGGTTCGTTGGTGGGATTCTTGTCCTCTGTGTGTTGGTGCAGTTTTTGTTCATGATCTTTTGGGGCCCAAACGTTCACTTCTTTTAGGAGTTGTTTCAAGTGATTTCTCATCCTCTAGATTTGACTTTTGCTGTTGGTTTGAGCAGGGGTCCTCTTTTCCCACTCTCCCATTTCCATTCTCTGTTTCTAATTGGCTTTCCGACACTGTTTTAGGGTTTTGCTTCATGTTCCCCCTAACTTATTGTACCGTGAATTTTTCTTTATCGATACATTCACAATGTCTTTACATGATAGCGATGTTGGAGTGGATTTGACATTTTTGTTTAATAGAAATAAGAAAAAGCCAAAAACACCATAGAATGACGAGACACCTGCCCAGTTAAGGTAGATGATGTGAGACGGTGATCCATGGCCTACAGTCCAACATGAGTAATGAACTACAATTGTTCCGACCAATGAGGGATAAATTATGGAAAAAAAGAGACTCTCGAGGACATCATGGCAACATACATACAATGTGAAGTAGTGTCTGAAGCAATTTGTTGTCTGGTAGTATAAATAGTTTTGGGGGACATTTGAAACCTGTTAACGATATATATTTTTACATGTTTATTCAATTATGCAGGATTTGCTTGAGCATTCATATGAGCGAAATCCTAACAAAGATATGAACAATGACGTTGAAATAACAGAAGGGAAAGCTGACCTGTGGACGCCCTTAAACTGTCTTGTAGAGGCTGCTAACCGAACCAAGTCCTCGAAGCCAAATTCACAAGGGTTGCATGCCACGTCAGATCCAATCAATTCCCTTGATAATGAACTTTATATGTCTCAAAATAAGGCAGAAGGAGAATCGCCAAATGCTCTGGACTGCATCAGGAATGCATATACGCCCAGAACCAAAAAAAAGGAGGCCAACCAGAATGCAAGAGGAAAAAATAATAGTAATGGAGCAGGGGCATCAGGACCGGTGAAACGTAAAAGGGTGCGCGCAGCTAATCAGAAGAGGGTAGCAGCATCTGGGGAAGCAAGTGCCTCAACTCAACCTATGCTAGATGTATGTGGGGCTAAGTATAGAAATGTTCCTGTTTGGTTCTCCTTGGTTGCATCTGAAGACTGGTGAGATGTTCTATTGATTATAAAATTCATATGGTTTTTCATATTTTGGGAGCTTAATTTTGATTTCTTTCATGCTGATCCTTGATTTTGATGGTAAACTTCTTCAGGAAAGGAGAAATTTCATTGCCACAGATATCAGCATGTTGCTTGAAAAT